AGCTTGCCTGACTACTCAGAATTTCAATTCAATTTTATACCAACTACTTAAGCTTATACTATATTCATGTCCTAGAAATCTTACTGGGTATAAAGTCATGATTTAGGAAGTCTGGGTACCTGCCCTTTGTAATGGAGAGTGTGATGGGGAATATAATCAACTGCAGAGCGCTGTTAGTTTGAGCTAAATGGTAGCAGCCTTCCTGGTGAAAGGTAAAATTGAAATTGTAGGAAAGATCCTTCTTCCCAAATAGCAGCTACAAAGAGCTGGTATTTAGAAAATGCTTGAACCTATTGACATAGTTTTTCCACAACACCGTTGAGTCTGAGTTGGCCCCTTGGATCACTACCAGTTTTTGTTTCTGACATAATGTGGTACAGCTGTGGCAGTGACATGTTACCAGCAACTAGGAGGCAGGAAGGGCATGGAGGTTAACATGTGGTTCTTCAAGTGGAGTCTTTCTCTGGGAAACACTCACACCTCCATAAGTGTCCACTTTCCCCACTTCTTTGGGAAACATTTGGACCTTTTTGCACCATCAATCAAAAGCAGAACTGAAAAATATTAAAAATAAGAAATTTAACAAGGTACAGTGTATGCATGGCATAGTTCTATAATAAAAATAGAATGGCAAAACATAAGCATAATATTTTTTAAAGCAGAAGTGAAACATTTCTATTTCCTCTACATGTGTTTGTGTCCTATTATCAATTTTGTTCTTCTGAGAACAAGTTTCAAATTCTACAGCTACAAGTTGGTGGAAGCTCCAGACAAGGGTCCCTGACTGACAAGACTGCCGAGCTGGGCAATCTTCACACATTAACTTATATGAGACATGGAAGGCATCCAAAATGTCGATGTTTTTCTAATGAAAGCACAGATATTTTTATATTGTTTATAACCCATAGTTGAGGAACATAAGCTTGCCTTATAAACTCTTCTTTGTTCACATATGTCTATGAGGCAGGAACTGGAATTTATGTAGGTGTATTTCCTGAGCCATATTGACAATTTCCATTTCATAGATAGGGATGAATTTATTTCTAACTATAAATAAAATCTTGATGCTTTGCAAATGCAAAGATAAGCACGTAAATTTTTCACAAAGTGCATTCTGAGAGCTGGCATTTTTTCCTTTATCGTATTTATCATCACATAATACTCTCTTTGAGTATCCCTCTTCATCCAGCCCCTTCATCCAACAACAATTAGATTTATGAAGGCAGAAAGGGATCTTCTTTGTTATTCTTTATTGTGCCAGATTCATTACAAAATATTGGTATATGGGGAATGATATTTAAATAGAAAGATATACAGTTATATTGTAATGGATATAATTTTAATTACATTGAGCATGGTGATGATGATCATATTTCTGTTCTATCGCTGGTGTTACTGTCAACATAATTGCTGTGGTCATAAATAAAAATGGTATTATTAGCATTTATATAAACTCCTTTGATCTATTTTATTTAACAGTTCTTCTCACATTCTGTTTTGTTCCTAAGATGTAACCAGATTCTTACCTCAATGTCTGTTTGTTATCTACATCACCACATTCTAACCACATTACTTCCTGTGCCCTGTTATTTTCAGTCCAGAAACAGTTAAAAATCATAGATGCAAAGTCAGAGAACTTCTCTCCAACAGGAGATGTGGGGACTAAAGGGAACACAGAGCCCTGAGGAGAATGTATCATTCCCTAGACCTCAGAACATAATATTCTGGGATGTTGACCACCGCAATGTACCTAGCTTTGGAGATGAATTTAAGTGATGGGAGAAGGAGCATAATTCATTCTGGTTTCATATTTGCCTAAAAACCAGGAAATCTAGTTGTACTCTTTACTGAAGAACAATGATCTGTCTATATTTCAGAAGCCCAGACATGGTTATCCAACCAAGCCTTGCATCAATATCCACTGCACATTCAACTCCTCTCTCACTGGGGGCTGGCGGTGAAAGAACAGGCTTATTTCCTTCCTGGGGACTGCCATAGTACATCAGCCCACAGGAAAGATTGAGGACAACATGGAGAAAACAACTGAAAATAAAAGTATGCCTGTGGGTACATGTGCGGGGTCTGTCTGTGTGTGTGTGTTAGTGTGTGTGTGTGTGTGTGTGTGTGTGTGTATTTATCAGAGGCAGAGGTTGAGTAGTTTTGACAGTGCTGTCAAGGAACTGAAAAGTGTTGTATCTAAAAGTTCAGGTCCTTTTTCCTTGCAACTAGAGACTTTATTCTGAATTGGAGGATTGGCATTCCAGTAACTGAAAAGACATGAATGTTCCTGGGTTGATATTTGTCAATAATTGAAGAGTATTGTTAGTAAATCATAGCCTCAGTCATCATAGTAATGGGGTAAAAGGAAGGCAGACCTCAAAGGGAGATTTTAGAAGATCAACTTTACACACACACACACACACACACACACACACACACAGGAATGCCCACTTTGCAATTCTTTTGTGTATATATAAGTTTATAGTTTATTGATCATCTCATGAAAAATCCGCACAACCATCACAGATAAAGTCAGCAAAGAATCTTTACTCCTTCTGTTGTTCAATCTCCAGCTCACTTTTTGCCAGCACTAACATTGGCCTTGGCAATCCCCCTGACTTTCTTCATTCTATTCTTGTGTTCCTTTCTCTGTTTTCTTGAGGTCTTCTTCTTCTCATATAGGCCATGTCTTGCAAGTCTGTGTTTGGGTTCATTTTTCTTTGCGTAATCCAAGGAATCATAAGTCCTGCCACCACCAGAGTGGGTTCTGAATCCAAACACGAAGATGACATCAGGTGTGGTCATATACATTTTGGCTAGTTTTTCCCGAATTTCTGTCTTGGGTACTGTTGCCTTCCCAGGGTGAAGGACATCAATGACCATTTGCTTCCGCTGAAGTAGTCTGTTGGTCATGAACTTCCTGGTCCGGATAGTTAATGTGTCATTCATGATGAAGGTTGATCTTCAAGCAGCCAGGGAGGTAAAGAGCTGCAACTCTTTTTTATATCAAAGATCATCCAATGTGAGTCATTTGGAAATTCCTATGGGCATGCAGGGATGAGAGCAGCTAATAATTGATAAGAGAACCATTTAATTAATCAATTAATTAATCTATTTATTTATTTTAACTTTTACTTCTTTGGAAAAAGATTTGGAAATAAAAATTCCAAAGAGAATGGGTACCACAAGTTCTGGATTGGTGGGAATATCCATTGCAGAAATAATGTCCCTGTTGTCTCATTGGAGGAGAAGAACTGGCTTTTCTTTGTTCCTTAAAACTTGCACCTCACTGCAAAAGTAAGGCTGGCCTGGCAACAGAAACTTACCTACACAGTAGTTTAGAAATGCCACAATTGTACTGGTTACACTACTGTATTTCTGTGAATAATAACTTTTTAAAAAAATTTTAATCTTCACTCAAGGATTATTTTCTACACATTAATTTTCAGAGAGAGTGGAAGGGAAGTGAAGAGACATGGAGAGAGAAGCATCGATGTGAGATAGATACATCAGCTAGTTGCCTCCTGCACACGCCCCGCCTGGGACCGAGATCAAGCCTGTCAACAAGGTATGTGCCCTTGACCAGAATCGAACCAGCAACCATTCAATCTGCAGGCCAAAAGTCAGACTGGAGAGGGCAATAATAACTTTTTAATGCAGAACAAATATAACCCAAATTCAAGTTCAATTTCAATGACATATATTTACTGTAGAAAAATGAGAAATATTAACTAGGAAATTATAAAGAAATATTTATTTTTTAATTAACTAAAATTTAAAGAAAGTTATAATTCTTTCATCAAATTACTTTATTTCTTAAAACAAAGTAGAATAATAATGGTGAAAGTAAGCTAAACTAATATGTATTCTTAAAATAATTTATTGCAGTCACAGTAAGAGAATAGCATACCTGATTACTAATTATGTACTAGCCATGACAGAGGTTATTAAAAACATTCTGTTATTTAATTACCACAATACCTCAAGTACGATTCCTATGTATATATTTTTACAAATGTGAAATATAATATTCTAGGATTTAGTTTATTTGATCAGAACTAATATGTAGTAACAGTAGAATTATAATAAAATGCTCAGTGTCATACACACACACATGCATTCACATACACAGTTTTATCTATCACTGGCAGAGCTGGACGTGTCTAGACAGCAGCACAGAGGTATCTGGGATCTGAAACATGAGACTTCAGTAAAAAACCCAAGCGCCCCTTAACGCAAAAACCTGTTTAATGAGACACTGACACAGTTTATATTTCTCAGTAATTAGTGGGGAAAATGTTTATTCAGTTGAGACACTTACATGTTATACACTTAATGACATTTTTCTTCTCACAATGATTCTAACTATAGTAGGTTTTATTACCAGGACCATTTAAAGAAAATAAAATCAGCATTCAAGTATTTTATTCATGGTTCATTGTGCATATTTGGAGAGACTGGACTTGAACCCAGACACTCTGGACACAAAAATTCCAATGTTGGTACATATTATTTATAATATTTTATCCTTCACTCCTTGATGAATAATAAACAGAAAGGGGTAAACTGACACACACCTGAGGACTCATTCTGTAGTGAATGACTCCTATACAGAGTCTTCAATAATGTACAGAAGTTGTTAGAAAGCTTTCCATCATCTCAGTCAGAGGCAGAGGACATGAGATTTAAAAAATTGGTAGAGATGTTATTTACATGCATGTCATTTTTTTATGAGATGTTAGTCATTTTCTTTTCTTTTAAAAAAATATATTTTATTGATTTTTTTACAGAGAGGAAGGGAGAGGATAGAGAGTTAGAAACATCAATGAGAGAGAAGCATCGGTCAGCTGCCTCCTGCACACCCCCTACTGGGGATGTGCATGCAACCAAGGTATATGCCCTTGACTGGAATCGAACCTGAGACCCTTCAATCTCCAGGCGGACGCTCTATCCAGTGAGCCAAACCGGCCAGGGCAAAACATTAGTCATTTTCCTTAGAATTATAAAAATGATGAATTAGGATTCTTTATTAATGCAAATAAGATATTGGATATCACCCTACTGATGAAGGAAGGGTGTTCAAATCAGAAGCAAAAAGGCAGCAAAGATATGATGGTGACAGTGATGCAGAAAAACTCAGTTTGTTAGATGCATTCAAGGAAAGAAGTTCTACACAGAAGTGGGTGAGAGTATGAAAGGTTTAAGAGCTTGGAGAAACCAGTTTCAGGGAGCCAGGATATTCCATAGAATTGAAATATGGATAAATTTCCTGATAAAAGCGACATGAAGAGAATTTATAGATGAGAAACCCATGGTTTGTTATATTCAAAAATGAGATAGTGCAGGCTGCAAAGTCTAGAAAAACTCCAATACGATCAGGAGGAACAGTCACGAACAGGGTTAAGGGTGAGGGGTTGGAGTAGGAAGAATTCACAAAAGCCTGATATTCGGAATAATTCTGTAACCCTATAACCCAGTAGCCATTTTGAGGTTGATATTGAAAGGAAACAGGCTTATTTTTCCCCCCAAAATCTATCCCAGTGAAGTCAGGGTATTTCCTGATACATACCCCCAAAATCCAGTCCTTATTCTTTGGCACATCTACCTCCCAGTAATGCTTCCCTGATGTGATAGATGGGAATCCCAGGACAACATAATCTTCTCTCTCAGGTGGACAAAGTGCTCTCCGATAGAAGTCACCTCTCCCATTTCTCTTATGCGCAGAAATGTCAACATTTGATCGATGATTCAAGGTCATGTTTGCTGTAAAAAAATTACAGTGTTGTGTGAGGAAAATTATATACTATTACTTATGACATTGCAAGAGAGATCATCAGAATAAAATGAGTAGGAACTGGAAAAAACTTGTTTTGGTATTTAAGGAGCAGTATAACATTGCAGAAATATAATATGCATGTGTGCTGGAAGGAAAACATGGATCTTAACCTCTCACACCCTCACCCACTTCTGTGTAGAGCCTTTTTCCTTGAGTGGATCTAACAAACTCAGTTTATCTGCATCACTGTCACCATGTTATCTTTGCTGCCTTTTGATTTTTTTTATTTGAACACCCTTCCTTCATCAGTAGAATGTACAATTTGCCTCCTGTTACATTTATCCCAAGATATTATTTGCATTAGTAAAGAGACCTAATAAAAATGAAATATTCTAAAAGAAGATGAGGACAGGGTAGCTTCATGATACTGTGATTTCTACTTACCCCAGTAGCGGCGCACAACTGCCAGTTCTGAAAGTAGAAAAAATACATAATATAAAATATAAGCAAAAGAGTCTACATTAAAATCTATTTTATACACAAATCAGGGGAAAGACTGGTGTCTATGCAAGGTAGTACATGGAAGAATGAGAGGTGAACAAGGCAGTAGACCACTCCCCAATGAATATGCCCATATAGTCAGTACAATATCCATTTTCCTTTGTCTCCTCTACCCAGACCTAGAAACTGAACTCTTCTTCCTCTTTAACCACCATCATAACAAGAATCCACAGATACCCTCTCACTCTAGCATTCCTCACCATTAAACACTTGCAGCATCCCTCTCAGATCAGGAACTTGGAACACTCTCCTTTGTTTCTTGGGGAGAGTTTTTAGCTTCTTCAGAGTGAAGGTCTTACTCCTAGGGATGACAAAAAAAAAAAAGATCTCCACACCTCTGCAGTTTTTGTCCTCCAAAACCACTGATTTGTGCCCATTCATCCTATTGAACACTTGAGCCCCCATTCATGGACCCCTGAGAAAGTAGAGAGGAGACCTCTGGACTTAGAGCCCCTTCATGGACCACTGAGGAACTAGAGGGTAGGCTTCTGAACTTAGAGCCAGAAAAATTGTGCTTGGTCCACTTTCCCCGGTGCATTTTGCTTGATCTTGGGAAGGGGTATACCTCTCAGAAGCACAATTTATTCCTTTCAAAGTGAATATCCTCTCCCTCTCTAACTTCTAAAAATCATATGAAATTATATACAATAGTGGATTTCTTTAAAATGCAAAGTTTGGTACCTTGAAATTAATTAATGTAAGGAAAAGCCATGGTATGGGTGTAGATTCCCAGAATTATGACAAGAAAGGAAGGTTGCAGAACCTAGCTCCTGGTGGGAATACTCTCTGGAGAGGACCAAGACCTTTAGGTGTTAATCCCCAATGGGGACGCCCCAGGAACAATATCTGAGGTTTCAGTTGCTCTGGGGAAAAATGTAACACTTGGAAAAGACATTATAGACAGTATACTAACAGTGGTCTGAATTTCATGTGCTTGGAAGAGATTGATGTTGTCAAGTAGATGTTCAAATTTAGACATAGCAGTATCTGCTTAAGCCCGGTGGTTAGAGCATCAGCCTGAGGACTGAAAGCTCACAGGTTCTAGTCTTATCAAGGGCATGTGACTGGGTCTCTCAGTGGATAGAGCACCAGCCTGTGGACTGAAGGGCCCCAGGTCTAATTCCAGTCAAAAGCACATGCCCAGGGATGCAGGTTTGATCCCCAGTATAGGGAGTTGCGGGGGAGGGTCATGAAAGGGCAGCCAATCAATGATTATCACTCATCATGGATGTTTCTATCTCTCTCTCCTATCTCTTCCTCTCTGAAATCAATTTTTTAAAAAAGGCGTGAGAAAGATGGATCAATTGTTTGTGCCAGAGTCAAAATATTCCTTGATATTTAATTTTTTTTGGAAAACACAGAGAACATAAAAGGAATATAACTGAGTTGTCTCAAATTCTGGCTGCTTAGGAGCTGAAGAAAACATGACATTCCAACAATAAGTCTATCACCTATGAACTGCAGAAATCTGAGTTAGATACAATCATGCTGATTGAACAAAATTAATGCAGTCACATGGGCCTGATACTGCAACATCTTATGTTTAATTGCTTCTAATCCAAACTCAGCAACTTCTCCCCATCTAAATTCCCTACCATAAAATCTGGTTCATTCTCAGTAGTTATAAAATACTCAAACCATATGTGAACAGAAATTCAAGATAAAATTACAACCAGCTTGTCCTTCCCTGATCACTATTTTATTCTAATTAACTACCAGATAACTTTAATGGCTTTAAACAAAATGTTCATTGTTCATCTTTCACACATACCTTTCCAGGATGCCATTCACATCCTAGTGAGAAAAGAGAAAACATGAGTCAAAAAGCAGTAAGTCCTCCTCACTTACAAAGCTTCATCACATCCCCAGGTCCCCCTGATCTGGTGGGAATAGAGATGGTCCTAATGTGAGAACAAAACAATAAAGAAAAGACCCAGGACTATCATTTCAGAAGATTCATGAACAGTTGTCACTTTTTCTAAAATATAGAAACAACTTTGACCCTTGTGGAAGAACACCTTGAGCTTCCAGTACCTGGAGATGAGACATATTTATAAGAAAAGCATGAGGGCCCTGGTATTTCCCCCATGTTCATAAGACTCCTCATGAGATGATTTGAATAATTCATGGTTTGCTCATTTATTCAACACAAATGTAAATTGACTAACTATTACTTGTCAAGTTTTATGCCTTGATTGGAAGAATAAAAGACGAGTTACAGTATTCTTCAAAAATTCATATGGCTTCCACTGAATGTACAAGCAAACAAATGTATTAATGTAGGCATTTCTCAAATCTCCCTTCTTGTTTCACCCACTATCCACAGTTGATCTTATCTACACCCTTAAATTGGACACACACTTACGTATAATTTTTTTCCAAAGTCTTTATTTTTACTCAGATTTGTCTCTTAAATGCAAGTTACAATAATGCCTAGGAAAGCACCCACAGGAACCAGTAACTTAGGCTGTTTACTATGTAACTTACTTTTCAGCAAACAAATTACTACCTCTTTTACACACCTTTGTCGATGTTACCAACATCCACTTGGTCACTGTTCTAAATAGCACAATATTTACTGCATTTCAGTCTCAAGACAGTTTAGTCTATATTGTTAATTTTTTTGTCATCTGAACTTGTTTATCATCACAGATTTATTCCTTTAAACAGGTATGCACAAATACATTTGGTATCACCTGAGACTAACTTTTTTCATGACACCCAAAACTAGGCCAACCGGGGGATCTACATACAAAAATAAAAAATAAAAATTGCTTTGTTCTCTGCATTAGGGTCTTGTTGTACATGACAAAAAGAAATTAAAAATAGATAAAGTAAAGAAGATGAAAAGGAATTTGGGGGACAGTTTTAATTTAATCAAGCTTCATTTTGAAGCTCAAACATTGTCATCAGGATCTGGTTTATGTCATGCTCCAAAGTCTATTTACCTCTTTATTGACTTTATCCTCAGTTCACGAAAACAAAAAAAATGTATCTCCTCATACAAATTTCACCCCAAAGTATGTCTTCCCAGTTGTTTCAAATAATTCCAAGGCCTGCATGGCATTGGCCTGCATTGGACTAACTGTCCATATTAAAAGTATCACTGCATTGTTGCTGAAGTAATATAAAGCAATGTTGGAGGCAAGTATCCATATTTTACTGGAATTAATTTAGTGTTAATATGCAATAGATCTTGATAAAATAGGATGTATATTATAATGAGAAGAGCAACCACCACAAAAATAAAAAGCGTAAAATAAATTTTATACTAGAAATATTTGGTTAACTCAGTGGTTCTCAACCTTCTGGCCTTTTAAATACAGTTCCTCATGTTGTGACCCAACCATAAAATTATTTTCGTTGCTACTTCATAACTGTAATGTTGCTACTGTTATGAATCATAATGTAAATATCTGATATGCAGGATGGTCTTAGGCTACCCATGTGAAAGGGTCGTTTGACCGCCAAAGGGGTCGCGACCCACAGGTTGAGAACCGCTGGGTTAATTCAAAAGAAGCTATTAAATGAGAAAGAGAACAGTGAAAATTGTAGGTGGATTATAAAAGCTAACAGCACAATGTAAGTTAAATAGAGCTACATTGACAATTACATTAAATGTCATTGTCTTAATTGACCATTTAAAGACACAGATTGCTGGACTATCTAAAAAGCAACTTATAGTATTGCTGTCTACAGGAGACATTTTGGATTCAAAGATACAAATTTGGCAAAAGTAAAAAGAGAATCTTGAATAAAACGGTGGACTAGGTAAAGAATGTGCTTGTTTCCTCCAAAACTCACATCAAAATTATAATTAAATTATAGAATAACCAGCTTTGGGAACCACATGATAAAAAGCTGACAGTCTGCTGAAAATAAAAATTTGAAGAAGCCACCTTGAGGCTGGTAGGAAGAGTGGAGACGAAACTGGCCTGTAACATACCCATGTGTGGAGGTTAAGAAATGAGACAGCCATTCAGCCTGAGGGGCAATTCCACCCACCAATGTGCAACAGCAATCAAGACTCAACTACAATAAGAGAGCACACACAACCCAATAGCACCTTTTTTCAGATGAATATGGAAACTGTACCACTGGTTCCCAAAGGACACCTACCATATAAGGCCACTCTGCCAAGGCTGAGAGATGTAGCAGCTATACCAAACACATAGGAATAAACATGGGAAAGCAGCAAAAATGATGAGACTAAGAGACATGTCCCAAATGAAAGATCAGGACAAAATTTCTGAAAAACAACTAAACAAAATGGAGGCAAGCAATCTACCAAATGCAGAATTCTAAACACAGGTTATAAAGATGCTCAATTGTGGGAAGAGTTCAGGAGATTTATCTCAGTGCAGTGGCGGATGCAATGGCGTGAGCTCACTCTGCCTGTACAAGCTTCCTCGGCACACCAGGAAGTGGCAATGCCCGCCTGAGCAAACCTCCTATAGCCACTACATAGTACCCTGATCTTTCCTACCATTGGCTGCCCTAAGGGTAGTGTAAACTTCTGATTGGTCCAGAATGTTATATATGTTGCTGCACTTACACAATAAACTTAGATCTGCGTCACTGAACCTGGTCTCTGGAGTCGTGCATGCCTCGTTAGGGCTCCGTTGTCCTCACCCCCGAGGGACCCCCTGCTTCACTCAATGAACTTAAGAAAAGAATATTTCACTGAGAACTTCAACAAAGAGTCAGGAAACTTGAAAAAGAAGACAGACAGCATAAAAAACACCCAGTGAGAAATGAATAGAGAGAGAATCTTAAAAGCAGCAGGAGAAAAGCAGTCAGTTACTATTAAGGGGGCTCCTGGAAGACTGTCAGCTGATTTCTCAACCAATCAGCTGATAATCTTATGAAGGCCAGAAGGGGGTTACATGAAATATTCAAAGTGATGAAAAGCAATGATCTACAACCTATATTACTCTACCCAGCAAGGCTATCATTTAGAATTTAAGGAACCACAATGAGCTTCCCAGATAAATAAAAGCTGAAGTTCACCACCACCAAACCAATATTACAAGAAATGTTAGAGACTCAAGAAAAATAAAAAAAAGATAGAAAAAATATAAATAAGAAAATAATCACAGTGTAGAAGACATGACCAACATTATCAACCTGCTCGATTTAATTCTAACTGCCATCTATAGACCCTTTTACCAAATCAATACAAATTTTTTTCAGATTCATATAAAAATTTGGACATATAATATTTTAGGATCAACATATTTAAAAGACTTAAATAATAAAATATATGCTTTCTGATTAGAAAGGAATTAATTTTAAAATACACAACAGAAGAAAAAGTAAAAATCACCAAGTGTTTGTAAATTAAACAACACAGTCTCAAATATTTCAAGGGTTAAAATGAAAATAACAAAGAAAAGTTGAAAATACATTGAATTGAATCTAAACAATAAGTAAATAATCCAAAAGTATGGAATATAATGAAAACTATGCATTTATATAATTAAAAAATAACAGAAAAGGTTGTTGAATCAGTGGTCAAACTTCCCACTTTAGGAAGCTAGAAAAAGAACAATAAATTAAACCAATACACACATGCACACAAACACATACACACACTCATATATGAATGTGCGTTTACATATACATACACAAAGTTAACTATATAAGTAAGAACATAAATCTATGATATTGAAAGGTTAAAAATAAATAAATCAATAAAACAAGTTTATTCTTGAAAAACTTCAATAAAATTAAGCAAATATAAGTAAACTGACAAAAAAAATCACTGAAATGAGGAATAAAAGATTGGCCAATACTGTAAGTACTGTAGAAATTAAAGAGACTCTAAGAAAGTATAATGACTAAATTCATGTTTATAAATGTGACAATTTAGAATGGACAAATTTTTACAAAGATGAATATTATAAAAAACTGATTCCAGAAATATATATATATATATATATATATATATATATATATATATATAAACAAATACCCAAGAAAATCTTGCGCAAGTAAAAACAAAATATATATATATTTTAAACCTTTCCCTAAAAAAGGCCCAGAGTGAGATGGTTTCATTGGTACATTTACTGAATAATTAAAGAATAAATAATAACAATCCTTCTCATTTGCTTATTAAGAAAACAATTGCTTAGTCAGAAAAAGGAGAAAAATCTCAACTCATTCTATGAAGAAAAAACAACTCTTGGATAATAAAGAGCTATCTGAAAAAAAGTTCTAGGCTAGGTCACAAATATAGTGCCCTGAAGAATATACTTGGAGACAATAGATCTTTCCTCCACAGTCATTTTTATACTGTCATTAGTACAGCCTATCTAATAATAGACAAACGTGGTAATCAACCATACCTCTGCTATGCTTCCCATTGGCTAATCAGGGCTCTATGCAAATTAACTGCCAACCAAGATGGCGGCCGGCAGCCAGGCAGCTTAAGCGAACATGAGGCTTGGTTGCCCCGGCGATGGAGGAAGCCAAGGTTCTCTGCCTGCCACAGCCTAGCTCTGAGCTCCAGTCTAAGCAACAATGTTGCAATTATAGAAGCTAAACAAACCCCAGATACCTGCTTTCAGCAGCCGAGGTCTCAGAGCTGAAGCCGGGCCTCAGAGCTAAAGCCCAGGTCTCAGCTCCAGTGACAGCTATAGAAGGTAAATAAATCCCAGAATAAAAAAAAAAAAAAAGAAAAAAAAGGAGAGGTTGGGAGCTTCAGTTGCAGGCTTGGCCCACCTGAAAATGGCCCTCAGCCCCTCATCCAGGCTGGTCAGGCACCTCAGCGGGGACCCCCACCCTGAAGGAAGTGCGGGCAGCCTGAACACAGCCATCAGTCCCTCATCCAGGCTGGCCAGGCACCTCAGTGGGACCCCCAGCTTGAAAGGGGTATGGGGCAGCCTGAAAACAGGCCATCAGCCCCTCATCCAGGCTGG